AGTCGGACGCTTAACCGACTGCGCCACCCAGGCGCCCCGGCCCCTTTTGAAAAGTGGAGTCAACCCCCACTCTTGAGTCTCAGTTTCCCCACCCGTCAGGCAGAAATGATGTCACTCCTTGTGCGATTGCGACAAAGGAGGTGACGCAGGTCAGGCTCTTGGTTAGGGATGTAGGTTTACTGCCATCACCACCAGCTTTTCGAGAAGGAAGCCGGGCCAGAATCGCTCTGAGGTTTGCTTCTGGGCATGTCACGGAGGAAAGGAGGTCGAACGCCAGGACAGGATCGTGTTCCTATCTGGAAGGGACGTGGCTCCCGTTTAATTCGCACTCCCCCGCGCACAGACAAACAGAGGAGCGAATGTAGATCTGAATCAATTAAGAGATTTGCTCGAGGTCACACGGACAGCTGCTTACTGCCACCCTGTGCACCCCATCCGCCCCGGTTTGGATTAGAGGGACCCTGGGGCCCGGGTTGACCGAGAGGGAAGGTTCTCAGAAGGTAGAGAGATCAGAACAGGTCTACCTCGAACAGACCTTGAAGGTAATGGTGGCTTAGGCACACGGAATCTCACTTAGATCTGCCTCTTCTGTCCCCAGTGGGTGGCCGTGTAGACTTTGACGACTTTGTGGAGCTGATGACCCCCAAATTGCTTGAGGAAACGGCAGGGATGATCGGCGTCCAGGAGATGCGCGATGCCTTCAAGGAAGTGAGTTGAGAGTTTCGCGATGCTAGAAGTAGTTGAAGAAAGCCCAGGGGTCTACGATTGGGCTTTAAGCGGGGACAGAACACACCCACACCGATTTTTTTTTTTAATCATCACAAATAACGGTGGGAGTAAGCAGCCCCTTATCTCAGTCATGCGTATGAGGAAACTGAGGCTCGTGGAATTTACTAAATCTTACCCAAGGTCCTGCAGTCCCCTAGCCCATGTTAGGACCTCTCATCTTGATGACTGTAATGGGAAGAAGGAATCCAATAACTTGAGATCCCAGAGGGGAACGCAAAGAGATAATCTGGTTTAACCCAGATGCTTAACACATGAGACCCAGGGAGGGTGAGGCGTTTGCTGAAATGCGCTCGGCCCCCGATAAAATGCTTTTCTCAGAGCTTTCAGTACAGGCGGCGAAAGTAAAGAACAGCATAGCGTTTGGAAGGAAAGACTTTGGAGCTGTGCAAACGTGGGTTCCCAATCCCAGGAAGATCTCCCCCTTTCAGCTGTGTCATTTTTCTGCCCCAGCTTCACGTAAAGATCTAGAATTGCATCGTCTGACAGAACTGCCTGTGATCTCAGAAACGCTCTGTCCAGGGCCCCTGGGTGGCTCAGTCGGTTGAGCGTCCGACTTCAGCTCAGGTCATGATCTCGTGGTTCGTGCGTTCGAGCCCCATGTCGGGCTCTGTGCTGACGGCTCAGGGCCTGGAGCCTGTTTCCGATTCTGTGTCTCCCCCTCTCTCTGCCCCTCCCGTGCTCATGCTCTGTCTCTCTCTGTCTCAATAATAAATAAACATTAAAAAATTTTTTTAAAAAGAAAGAAAGGAACGCTCTGTCCAAAATGGTAGCCACTGGCCACCTGTGGCTGCCAAACCCTTGACACATGGCCAGTATGACTTGAGGAACTGATTTGTTCATTTTCTCTAATTCTGGTTAGTTTCAGTTCAATTATTTACTTAATTTCCTTTGACATTCAACAGAATATAAATTCAATTTGTTTGAATTTTAAAAAGGAATACACAGGGCGCCTGGGCGGCTCAGTCAGCTAAGGGTTTGACTCTTGATCTCAGCTCAGGTCTT